TAAAGGTCACTATATCTTCTTAACTCTGAAAATGGTCATCAATAATCGTTTCATTTGACATTGTTTTCTTACAAATCTATATTATATGGGATGCATGTACAAGAAGACTAAATCAAGAAAAAAATGTGACATTATACACGGTGATCCAAAAACAAACAGACAACTAAACATTTTTTCTTCTGAATATCTCGGACAAAATTTGTACTAGAATGTTATAATTTGGGACAAATATAATTCACCCAAAAGAAATCTGTTTGACATCAAATTTATAAAGAAAAAAACTTGTTTTCGAAAACGAAATGGCTTTTAAAAACCCGCCTATAAACGCAAAGCGCATCAATTTAATAGATCTTGTAAGGGGAATCATGAAATGATTAGTTTGTTTTTCCCTTCTTTTTCTTTTTAAAGTAATAATCTCTCCATCCCTGTAACATTTAAGCAATATTTCATTTCTCTTGCAGAGTTTTATTTAAAAATATTTGTAAAATTCTGTAATTCCGAGGCAGCTCTATATGTCTTCTTTGGACTAGTCGTTCGTAATGGTCAGTGGTGGGCAAACACAAGGGTCCACCCAACCATGAGTACTCAAAGCCACACACACGCGTACACCTTACAGTATGGAGAGTGGTTTCTAGATACAATATGGGGTAGGTTGAGGTTGACCAGATATAGACATCATTTGTGGAGTTAACGTATCCTGAAAGGTGAATAATATGAGCTTTGCTTCACAGAGAAAATGTTCTCGCATTTCAATACGGTGGGAGAATCATGAACACATTGCTATCCTCTGATCCATGTAAGTTTCGCGAACAGGAAAATGGTACAGTCGTAGATGAAGATAAGAAAGTCCAAGCTGCAGATATTGTCTACGAACAGAAGTCTCATGGGGCTCATCTACTGAGCTCTGCACCCTGGTGATGTTAAGAGGGGTGCGAACGGTTTGTGTTTTACCTGAAGTAGTCATTTTGTTTGAGAATTTTTTAGTTCTGATTTTTTACAGGTCCTAACAGAAGGACCATTTTCATTTTTTACGTCGAAGGAGGCCTTAGGAACACCTTAACATTTTTTACGTACCTTGTGCGAAACTTACGAAATGAGTTGATGGTGAGGAAATATTCTATACAAAAAGCTCTCTGCTTTTTACTAATCTTATCAATGATCTCAGTAGGCAAAGCATACTTGAGAAAAACTATCTGTAAAGTTCTGTTGGCCAGTTAGACCACTGTAGCATGCAATATGGCCCAATCGTTGGGACTTTTAGTGGTAGGCCTAAGGCGAACTAGCGCATCATGCTACGAAAATGGGGACATAGCTGAAAATGAGTTGTTGTTTTTTT